TAAATCGGATGCGGTCGCATGAGGTGTGAACAGTGTGGATAGGTGCTTGGCCGCGGTCGCGTAGGCCTGGCCGCGGTAAATGGCTTGCTGGCCGCAGTCCCGTAGCTTGCTGGCCGTCTTCTAATGTCTCCGGGGCAAATGAAATATCTTGAGATCCAACCGTTGGAATGTCTTCAAACTAAGTGCATTTGAAAGCTGATTGAGTCTTCTATTAAGTATCTAATTTTGGGGATGATCAAACAGTGAGAATGTCTTCGTCTCTCCTTGAGAGTTCTGACGGTCTGAATTTATCCAAAAGAGTCTTTTTGTTCCAATTTGCACATCTTTCTTCCAAATTACCTGAAAAGTCTTTTAAAATCCGAAAACATAGAAATTCTTTGAAAATAAAGTGAAAACACTTGAAAAAGATATTAAAGTGATCCATAAAAATGGTCAAAATCCAGTGTTATCATCTGTCATAGCAAATTCCTTCTTCATTGACGTTTTGAACTCCTCAAGCATTGTTACAGAGCTACTTGTGTAGATAATATCATCTACATACAGACTTATGATCAAGATGTCTTCACCTTTTTTTTAATGAATAGAGTATGCTTGCAGTAGCATTTCATGGTTCCCTCTCATAAAATAGCTCTCGATCCTGCTGTACCATGTCCTTGGTGCTTGTTTTAGACCATACAGAGCTTTTTTCAATTTATAAACCTTTCTGTTTTTTCCTTTGACTTAAAACCCTTTGGCTGCTCCACATACACATCCTCATTCAATTCTCCAAATAGAAATGTGCATTTCACATCTAGTTGTTGCACACTCCACCCCTTTTGTGCAGGTAGAGCGAGTATCAATCTGATCGTATCCCACCTAGCAACTGGTGCAAATACCTCATGAAAGTCGATTCCATGCGTTTTATGAAACCCTTTGGCAAGTAGCCTTTCCTTGAACTTGTCTACATCTCCTTTTTCATTGAACCTTGTCTTGTATACTCATTTAACTCCTATCACCTTTGCTTCTGCAGGCAAGTCAACAAGTTCCCATGTGTTGTTGTCTTCTATATAACTGATTTTTGTCTCCATCGCTTTCCTCCATTTCTCATGTATCACTGCTTCTTTGAATTTTCCTGGATCATCTTCTGAAGTGAATAGTACCATCATTATCATCTTGCATGATCAGCGCTTGTCCTTTTCGTGTGTAACATTGAAAATCTTTCATCCAAGATGGCCTTAAAATTGTCATCCAGCTTTACTTCTCTTCTATTCACTTCACTCACCTCAGGTTCTGGTTGTGTTATCTCATCCTCCACATCCTATTTTCCTCCCTGATTTTCGTGCTTTTCTTCTTGTGTCTCAGCCTCTTCTTTTCTTGCCTCAGCTGTGTTTTTTCCATCTTCTTCCTCAAGTGTAAACTTGTTCTCCTCTGGTTTCTCATCCCAGTTATACGGTGTTTGCTCATCAAATTTTACATCCTTGCTGAGTACAATTCTCTTTGTTACCGAATCATACAGTCTATACACCTTGGACTCTTTGCTGACTCCAAACATCACACACTTGATGCTTTTCTCATCCAGCTTTACTTTTCTCTCATATGGAACCAACGCAAAAGTTGTACACCTAAAGACATGCAAATGCTTCACTGAAGGTTTGTGCTTACTCGACATCTCTGCAGGTGTCACTTCTCCTAGTACATTTGTTGGGCTCTTGTTCAGTATGTGCACAACATACTGTACTGCTTCTGGCCAGAATCTTAGAGGCACCTTCATTCCAAATAACATGCATCTCACCATGTTCATAATGCTTTTGTTCTTTCTCTCAGCTATACTGTTTTGTTGCGGTGTGTAAGCTGCAGTAAGCTGTCGTTTGATGTCATTCTCAGCAAAATAGCCATCAAACGACTTTGAATTGAACTCACCTCCTCGATCCATCCTTAGACATACTAGTAATTCATCGAGTTCTCTCTCTGCTGCAGCTTTAAATTCCTTGAAAACCTTCAGAGCCTCCGAATTTTCTACCAGAAAGAATTTCTAGCACTTGTGACTGTAGTCATCAATAAAATTGATGATATACAGTTTGCCACTCTCAGAGATGGGTGTGATCGGTTCACAGATGTTTCTGTGCACTAGCTGAAATCCTCAGTTTGGCCTCCATGCACTGTGTTTGGGAATGCTTTCCCTGTTCTGTTTTCCTTTTTTTTTTCTGTTTTCCTTTCATACAGACCTCACACACTTTTTTCTCACACTGATTCTTGGTAAGTCTTTCACCATCTCCTTCTCAGCACGTGTCACCAGACTGTTTCGATTTAAGTGGCTGAATCTCTTGTGCCAGATGTCCTATGCCTCTTCCATAGGACTCTCTATGTTGTTCGCTTCCTCAAATGCATTAGCTTCTGTCACCTTAGCCAGTATCACAAACATCCTGTTTGCAGACATTGTTGAGTGCATGATCAACCTTTTCTGCTGTTTATGCCAGAATTCACACATATCATCTTCAATAATAATCCTTAACCCTTTCTGTTGCAGCTGCCTCACGCTCAGAAGGTTGTTCTTCAGTCCTGGCACAAAGTAAACAGAGGAGATGACATGCACTATCCCATTGATCTTGAGACGCAAGCTCCCATTTCCTTCTACTTACATCCGTCGATCATCTCCAAGTTTCACTTGTTATCGAAACTTGAAATCAATCTCTGTAAACCATTCTTGTGTCCCACACCTGTGATTACTGCAACCTGTATCCAGGTACCACACTGTATCTCCTTCAGTCTTCACGTGTTCTGTCTGTGCCATATGTAATACTTCCTCTTCATTAAACTCTGCATAATTTGCCGTCTTTTCCCAGATCGGACACTCGTTTTTAAAGTGTCTCAACTTATGACACTTATAACATTCAAAATTCTCCTTGTTGAATGCTCTTCCTCCACGGTATTCTCCACGACCTCAGACATTAGTATATCCACCTCTTCCTCTGATACCTTCAACCTTCAGTGCATGCTCTTCTCCATGTGTTTACTCAAGTTTTGTTCATGCACCAGCAAAGAACTTTGGAGTTCATCGACTGATAGCTCCTTGATGTCGTTTGATTCTTCGATTGCACACATCACATAAGTGAATTTCTCAACCAAATTTTGGAGAATCTTCTCAACTATCTTGGCATCCGGCATGTCATCTCCTAGATTCCTTATGTCATTCGCCACCATCATCACCTTTGAGAAGTACTCGGTAATATTATCTCCATCCTTCATTTCTAACACTTCAAAATTCCTTCTCAGTCTCTGCAACTGAGCACTTTGGACCCTCTTGTTGCCCTAGTACTTTTTCTTCATGCACTCCTAGATGTCCTAAGCAGTATCCTTCTTGGCTATCGTCTTCAAAATCGTCTTGTCAATCGAGGCAAACAGATAGTTCTTTACCTTGTGGTATGTGACTGTCTTCTCTGCTACCTTCTCCAATAGCTCAGCTCTCTCTGATCTTGATAACACAGTTCCTCTCTCTTGACTTGGAATCCCTGTGTAATGAGATCCCACTACACTTTGAATTGGAGGAGATTCTCCATGAGCATTGCCCAATGCTCATAATCTCCATCAAACTTAGGTATGATCAGTGTATCTTTTTCACTCATCTTCTCTCAATGTGTTGTGTTTTAATGAACCGCTCTGATACGACTTGTAGTAAATAGAAAAAGAGATACTAAAAGTGTGATTGTATTGCATAAAGAAGAGATTACACAAAGCAGAGCTTAATAGCTTCTGCAAATTAACAGCTAGAACTACTTCCTTAAGACTCGGTATTTCAAATGTGCCTGCTACAAACTTGCAAGACTTATTCTTCTACTAGATAGAAAATTCAAAACTAAAACAAATTTCTTAAGACTCGGACTTGACTTTTATTCTTTAGTCACTTGGAACAGGAGTCAGATGAGAATGGTGTTTAGACAATACCCAGAATAATGGATGATGCTTTGTAGACTTATTTTCCAATTTGGGTCTTGACAGTTATTCAATAGACTTGCCGCCACTTCAGACCAAACGGTGAAGGAGATCGGACAAGCGAAGAACCAATGGTCTCAGGTTTCGTCCAATTCTCCACAGAGTACGCATGATTGGTGAGTTCCTCAGCTACGCAAAGGAGCTCCCGTAGATAGTCTGTTACATTTCTAAATATGGTATCCAATACATTATATAATCTTTATAAAACTAACAGTCAATTTAAGAAATAACACTTCAACAATCATTTTTTTTTTGTTTAAAAAGAATGCAAGTGTAATTATCTATTAAAAACATTTTTTTCAAATAATGAAAAATCAGATTTATGGAAGAAAAAAATTATGAGGAACAAAAATTTAAAATACAAAATATATGGAAAGAAGAATTAAAAGAATTAGAAACCAATATATTGGTTTTAAATTTGACTTATAACATTGAGTTACAGGTATACAAAAGAAAACAGTGGTATACACCGTATACTAAAATGTAGTAGTCAAAACTTTGACAAACCTTAATGATATCTACTGTTAGAAAAACAAATTATGGAAGCGAGAATGTAAAAAAAACTTTTAACTGAAACATTAGATTTAATCTTTAACTTCAAATCAACCTTTTTTTTTTGGTAAGTCTTGTGCCAATTTGTTACGGTTTTGTTATTGGTTTAAACCTGAACGGAACCAAAGTGAATTCTGATTTCTGAAACATTGCTGATTGGCTTTTTGAGATCTCGAACTAAATCGAATTTTTATATTGAATGTGGGTTTGGTTTAAGTGGGTTCGGAATCATTACACCCGTTTGTGCTTACGTGCAAAATATAAAATGGTAGTAGTTTTTAAAGAAAAGTTTGAATAAAATGATGTCTTCATGTGAAAACAAAGAATCAGATTACTAATATTTTTTTTTTATCCCAAACTTGTTTCTTGCGCTTATTCTTGATCTTCTTCTCCTCCCAAAAGCTGCCCACTCTTACAAGTTAACCATATCTCTTGATAACTGCCTCTTCATTTTGGTTTCCTTACATTTTGAGCTAAACATAATCTCCTAAAACATGCTTTTCCTTTTACTCCATAAAAAAATAGAAAGCAAAGAGCAAGAACACCCACACAATATCTGCGGACGATTCTATGATTTCTTGGTGAAGTTATTAGCCACACAAGCTTTGAAGAAAGTAGCTCTTGGCGATCCATCAACGCTTGGTACAGTCGAACGAAAAGAGCAAAATTCTGATATTGCCTCTAATATGGTATGCGATGTTGGCAAAAACATTGAAAAAAATGAAGTGTTATCAGTCGATGGAGAACAACTAGAGTTACGTGTACCAAAAGAAAAGGCTCCAAGGAAAATTGTGAGCATAAAAGAAGAAGTTGATAAGATACCAATAAGTTCAAAGAGAATCAAGAGGAAGACATCGAAAGGAAGTTTTGGTCCCTTTGAGCATGAAGTTATGCCTATAAAACCATTGAAATCAATTCTGAGAAAAAATTCCGGAGTAAGCAACAATCTGTGATCACCTATTCGATATGTAGTAAAACATAATATGTAGATAAGTGCGTAGGAATAATCATTAGTCTTCACTGATATGTAAATAAAATACAACCCAATGAAATATGTATATTAATATCTTTTATAGTCATACAGTAAAGATATTTGTCAAATTGTCAATCATTTTATAGTTATGAGTGAAAGGCACTTGATCGTGGTTTTTTCCTATTTCTGACGACATATAAATAAGGTTTAATTTGCTCAATAACCAACATAAATATGCAATTCAGAATATAACTACGTAATATAATATGGCTTAATAAGTATTACATGTCCAGAAAAGCTAAAATAACATTCTTTCTTGAGTCATTGGGCTACGAATTTGAAGTAATTTGGTGAATTTTAGATTTGGAGAAATTTTAATTGTACTTGGTGAGATTTGACAGATTTTCAGATGATTTACAAGATATTCTATGATTAAACTACAAAAAAAATAATGGTATTTGGTGAGATTTATCGTGAAGTTTTAGACGATATTGGAGTATTTTGTGTGATACTATTTATTTTTCCTTTTAGTGACAAATCAAAGATCACCATCTACTTCTTACTTTCGTAACTTGCCCGCATACTTTCTTCCACTTCATCACCATGCTTTGATAAAGTCGTTTAAGCAAGCACACAGCTTTGTATAAGAACAATTCTTTTTATTAATGTTTAGAAAACAGCTCAAAACTAAACACCAAAGCTCTAATGTTTTTCTTGTGTTTGTCACAACTTCACAAACACATATATATAGAAATTAATATTTCCTAATCCTTCTTCTAATAAAACTAGGTAAATTTTCTATTAGGCTTATCTTATTATTAGCCGACTTGTTAATAATGTCTTGGACATCAAGCTATAGAAGCTTACCGAACAATCACCCCCTTAAACTTCGAGTCCTTCTTCGAGAGGTGTTACTGATCAAACTCCTCATTGTCTTGAACTTGATTCTTGCAAGGGATTTTGTCAATATGTCTGCACACTGTTCTTCTCCTGACACAAACACCACTTCAATTTGCTCATCTTTGATACACTTCGGGTTCCTCTTCTTGAGCCTTAGACAGCTTTAAACCAAACTCCATGGGAATGTGAGTTAGATTACAAGTATCTAACCTAGCCTCCTTTAGAATCCGATGAGCATAAGCTTCCTGTTTCAGCTCAATTCTGTATTTGCTCTGTTTCACTTCTATACCGAGATAGTAGGTGAGATTGCCAAGGTCTGACATCTCGAACTTCGACGACATTCCTGCCTTAAACTCTTGTATGATCCCAAGCGAGTTCTGGTCACGAAAAGATCATCGACATATATGGCTACAATCAGAAGTTTTACTCTTTCTGCCTAGCAATACAAGACACTCTCTTTTGAACACTTTTTGAAGTTCATCCCCTTCAAAATTTGATCAAGCTTTGTGTTCCATGTGTGTGGGGCTTGTCTTAAGCCATATAAAACATTTGAGAGTTTGAAAACCTTCTGTTCTTCTCCCTTCTTTTCAAATCCTTCAGGATGTGACACATATACGTCTTCGTTCAGTTCTCTATGTAGGAATACGGTTTTGACGTCGAGATGATGAATCTCCCACCCGTGAGAAGCAGTTAAACCCAAAATCAACCTTACTAGTTCAATTCGAGCCACCGGTGCAAATACTTCATCAAAATCAATCCCTGATTGTTGAACATATCATTTTGCAATGAGTCTGGCTTTGAATTTGTTTATGGTGCCGTCTGAGTTTCTCTTGATTTTAAAACCCCACTTGAGACCAATGATCTTGACCCCTCTTGGTTTATCAGCTAAGGTCCAAGTCTTGTTTTTATTAATCGAAGAGATTTTGTCTTTGTAGGCTTGTGTCCATTCGTCTGAATCCTTTGCTTCGCTATAGTTCATCGGCTCATCATTGATTGGCAATAGAAGCCTTTCACATTCGATGGCTGCTAGAAGAACAAAGTCAGCGAGGTATCCTGGACGATTTACTTGTCTACCTGACTTTGTAAATCGTTGCTGATTTCCGATGAGGGGATCATCGTGTATCTGTTCCTCTTCATTGCTCTTTTGTTCTAGTGTTTCTTCATGAGCTTTGTTGTCACTCTGTTGTTCTTGTTGAGCGTCTGTTTCGGCATCGGTTTCGGATGAACTAGAACCTTCTCTGTAAGGTCCTTGTCCTTCATCTATGACTGCTCCCCAAGTCATTCGGAACATACCTGATTCGCCATTATCCACTGCATTTTCTCCCTTCCAATTCCAACATGTTCCTTCATTGAAAACTACATCTAGAATTACAGTGATTCTCCTTGTTGTTGGGCTATAAAGCCTATAAGCTTTGGATCCAGGTTCTATCCTGCGGTGAACCAGTTGTTGAGAACGATCATCGAACTTCTTCAAGTTCACAGGCTTGATTTTCGCATGAGCTAAACAGCCGAAAACTCTGAGATGATCGACACTAGGTTTTCTGTTCTTAAGGCATTCATACGGCGTTTGATTTTTCCAAGCTCTTATGGAGATTTGATCATATGTTAAATGTCGAGCAAATTCGTCGCAATTGAGCATCAAAATTGTTTGAAGCACATTGTAGTCGTCATCTGTTAACCACCCATTAACAAATTTTCCACCAGCTCGCCCTACATGTTGGAATAAATTTGGGACATCTTGATAAGCGTAGGTAAATCGAACTTTTCCTGGACCTTCATTGGAGTCTGGAACTTCTTGATGTCCAAAATAATTGTTTGTAGCATAAGAAATCTCTTCATTCACACATTGTGCAACAATCGAGCCCCCAATGTGGGCCTTGTTTTAAACCTTCTTCATCAGATAGTACATATATCTCTCGAATGGATACATCCACCTATATTGCACTTGACCACCTAAAGATGCTTCTTCAGGAAGGTGAATAGGGAGATTTTCCATAATGTCAAAGAACGATAGAGGAAATATCTTCTCAAGATTGCAAAGCTTCAGCGCGATATTTTTTTTCAAGACGGCAATATCTTCGACTTTCAACGTCTTCGCTGATATATCCTAACAAAACAGTGCAATATCTACACAATTTATTATTATTTAATCTATTTTTGCAGTATCTAAATTAATTTTTAAAAATTTGTAAATTATCTGAAATTGCTGTATGAACATTTTTGGGAAGGAGTTTTGAAAATGCAAATGGGAGAAATCGTTGCTTGATGACATGGCAATCATGGTTTTTTAGTCCAGAAAGCTTCCAATTATTTTCATCAACACATTTTGAATTTTGAAGCGTATCCATCTGAAAATTTGATATCATATTTCAACCATGTGAGAAATTTCTTTTTCACCTCGTTTAACAGTCTGAAAATTGGCACAGGCACCCTTCCAGCAGTGATTTCTAAATCCGGTCTTCTACATATCTCTGGCAGATCCATCCTCGTTTAAATGTTATCTTTCGTCTTCCCTGGTGCATTCAAAACTGTGTTGATGAGATTATCGAAGAAATTTTTCTCTCTGTGCATAAAATCGAGATTATGTCTCAAAATTAGGTTTTCCCAGTATGGCAGCTCCCAAAAGATACTCTTTTTCACCTAGTTATGGTAATCACCTTATCCAGTAATGGTTCGTGAAGGAGTGTTGTGTCCGTTCCTTCCACAATCAACAGTTTTAGACAGTCCTTCAATGTTATCTATTCTTTCGCGCAAAATTTTCTCACCAGTTAACCACGGTGGATGATGAGTATCTATTATTGAAGATCTCCTTCTAAACGCATTCACAAATCTCCGGTAAGGATGATCTTGTGGTAAAAACATTCTATGACAATCAAACCAACTGTATTTCCTTCCATTTTGCAGCCAAAATAACTTTGTCTATCTTGGCAGTATGGACACGCCAAGCGTCCATGCATCATCTATCTAAAAAGCATTCCATATGCCAGGAAATCATTAATTATCCACATTACCACAGATCGTATCGTAAAAGTTTACTTTTTTGATACAATCATAAGTATCCACACCGTCTCTCCACGGATTTTTTAGTTTTTCAATTAACGGCTGGAGGTAAATATCTAGGCTTTTCTTCGGATGTTTTGGTCTTGGAACTAGTATTGATAGGAAAAAAATATTATATTTTCATGCACATACTGGGGTGGGGGGCAGATTATAAGGTGTAATTATTACGGGCCAAACTGAGTGTGTTTCACCGTTCATACAAATTGGATTAAATCCATCTGTTGATAACCTTATATAAATGTTACGACTTTCAGAAGCAAATGCAGGATATACGTCATTAAAATGCATCCATGCGGCTCCATCTGATGGATTATGCATTTCTCCTTCAGGAAAAATATGTTCGGCGTGCCATCGCATATGAGATGATGTTGCCTCTGATTAGTATAACCGCTTCAACTGATCCTCAAGAAGGAGATAAAACATCCTCTGCTTAGGTTTGTTATTTCCTTTGCGTTTGTTCGGATGGTATCTGTCTTTTTTACAAAATCGACAACTTTTTAAATCTCGATCTGCTCCCTCTAAAAAAGTATGCAATTATCCTCGCACACATCAATCTTGTGTAAAGGTAATCCTAGCGCCCGAGTCAACTTCTTCGTCTCATAATATGATTAAGGCGCTTTATTTGGTTTCAGAAGTACATCTCTAATTGTTTGCGTTATATCATCCATGCAAGCTTCTGCCAAATTGTGATTGGTCTTAATGTTCATAATACCTGATGCCATATACAATTGGGAAATTCCTTTAAGATAACCCTCGTAAAGAGATTGATTAGCTGCTTCAAATGCTTTTAAAATGCTATCATGGCATGGAACTTGAATATTGGTAGTATGACCATCCCATGTTTCTTCTTCGACCCCGTTATAATTTGTTCTCGATGAATCGCCAACGTCATAACAATTTTCTCCATGGCTCGTCCAAACATAGTATTTCCCCTTAAATCCCTTCAGAAAAAGATGCTTAGATACCGTTTATGCATCACGGTGCTTCATATTCCTACATCGAGCACAAGGACACAATAAAGTACCTCGTTCCTCGTAAGCTGGTTGATTACTTGCAAATTAAATAAATGCATCAACTCCATCACTAAACTCTTTGGAAACACAATTTT